TATACTGGAAAGTACATTTCGCACATTGATCTGAGCACACAGCGGTTTTTGTTCGAAATTGGCGCGTGTTTGCATTTATAACTCCCAACTACGGCGTTGACAAATGTGTTAAGCCATTACGAATTATTAAATTATTACTAAATCGGATGTGGCTTATCAATATTTAAACCAAGAATAAAACGGACTATTAAATTACACTAGTATGATATAATTGGGTGAGTTAATTTAATTTGTATATGTCAACCCTCAAACGCCTGCCTTACAAATGCCATGGGAACGAACACGTTTTGCCTTAATTTTTTCACACATCGTGCGGGTCCTCATGAAGCACATGATGAATTCTACAGCTTCCAACGATTTCAACAGTTCCAAGTGTGCCGCTCTACACAAACTACATGCAAATAAGGCCAAGTATGGCTTTTTCTCGGACTTTCCTTTCTGGTAACGTATTGGTCCCGCGAAATCGACTCCTACAATTTCGAATGGCGTTGATCCTTGAGTTCTTGTCTTTGGCAAGAGTCCTGGTGGTAGTGCTTCGAACTCCTTGACCCTGAAACGTTTGCATCCCCAACACCTACTTCTCACTTGTTTTACTACCTGTCGAAGTTTAGGTATCCAGTAGCGTTCTCTAACTTTCGCCATTGTCATTGCTACTCCACCATGGAGCGTGATCAAGTGCGCTTGTTCCACTACTCTCCGGGTAAAGGTGCTGTTACAGGGTAGAAACAATGGATAATCACCTTCGATTCTTCCTCTACACTCTAGTATCCCATCGTTGTTTGGTTGGAGATTTAACTGGATTTTCTCTGCTTCTGTTATTTGCTCATTCTGTTGAACTCGTCTCGTCCACCATTTGCGTTGCTCTTCGATTTCCCTCGTTTTTAAGGTACCAGTTTCTCGGGTTCCATGGCGGTTTCGACAATTTAGGGAAAATCGCTGTATCCACGCGCCGATTCTAAGTACTTTCCGTAAAGGGTACGCTTCAATTAACTGGTCGAACTTGTCGCACTTCCGAGTGATAATTGCAAAGGTTGGAGCATGAATACGCTTCTCTTCCTCTCTTACTTCCGGACTGAATTCTGGTACAACATCTGGGGGCCAATCGCTAGGGTTGCTAAGCCAGGTTGGTCCATGCTGCCACAACTCGTTCTTGGAACAACTCCACCTCGACTCCCCAGATCTGCCGGGTTCTCTTTCGTAGGCACATAGTGCCATTTTACTCGACTGTGTTCCTTGATCTTCTTAACTCGATTCGCGACGAATTGACGATATTCGCCTTGACCGCCAATCCAATACAGCGCTACCGTCGAGTCTAGCCAGCAGTGTACGGACGAAACTTTCTCAGTACCGATCGCAGTTTCGACATTGGACACAAGGTTTACCGCCATGTGTCCGCCCACGAGCTCTTGCCGAGGTATAGTAAGGTTTTTCTTCGCTAAACGAGACCTTGAACAAACCAATCCTTGGGTTGTACCTTGTTCTTGTTCGACAACGGCATAAACGACGGCTGCGACTCCCAACTTGCTTGCATCTCCGAATGCGTGTAGTGTAATGGATTCTATAGGTTCGAAGTAAGGTGCTAACGGTCGTGGCACACTAAAGGACTTGGGCATTCGATCACACCATTCTTTCCATCTCTGCCTAAATATTTCTGGAAACTCCCCGTCCCAAGTGAAGTTTGTCTCGCACATCTCACGATAAAGTAGTTTTCCGAGCAACGTTGTTGGCGAAACCAGACCGAGGGGGTCGTATACCTTTGCCAGTTGAGAGAGTAGAGCTCTTTTAGTGTTGGCGACGTCTACGTTGTTGGTCACAACACTGAGGGTATCGTCCGACTTGTTCCATGGGAGGCCGAGCAATTTTGTTTCGTCTTGATTCGATCCCAACTGTTGCTTGGCGAATGTTGGTTCTTCAGCTGCGCTAAGCTGATCGTTTGGTTCTTCGAGCTCTCTTACGTTAGAAATCCATTTATGAAGTCTGAAGGTGGCGTCTTAAAAAACTTCGATAGCCTTGACTCTCTTTTGGGCGACTTCTCTGACTCGCGCTCCCCCATCATCAAATCGTCGACGTAAAGGCCGTCACGTATTTCCTTTACTAGTTCTGGACGTCTCTCTTCCCATGAATTTAGATGTTCAGTGAGCACTCCTCCCAGTAAAAATGGAGAGCAGGTTAACCCGAACAACGCTCTTGTGAATCGATAAATCTCGATGTTTCCACTTCCGGGAGCCTTCCAGTGGAACCTCAGTGCGTCACGTTCTAGTTCCTTAATTCTTATCTGCAGGAACGCCTTTTCCAGGTCACCGGCGAGCAGAATCGGAGAAAAACGGGCACGAACTAGAATGTTCCAAAGTTGGTTTTGCAAAACTGGACCTGGGTTTAAGCAGTCGTTTAACGAGGGTTGTGAATTGGTTTCCTTCGCCGAGGCATCATATACGATTCGAAGTTTGGTGGTCTCAGCAGATTTCTTTATTATCTCCTTGTGAGGAATATAAAATTCTTTCTCGGTGCACTCCTTTGGCGCTGGTTCGATGATTCCTTGTCGCAATTGTTCTTGAATTATGTTGTCATAATCTCGATAGATACCGTTACGCTCGAGCCGTTTGACTAAGTTGTGTAATCGTCATGTACTTCCGTTCTCGTTTGTTGGCAAGTTCCGGTGGTCGGATTTCCAAGGAAGAGCAGCTTCATACCAGCCCGCTGGATCTCTTACGAGTTGTTCCTTGAAGTCTTGATAAACCGTGTCTTGGTCGTTTTCCGGGGTATCTGCAAGCCCGAGAACATCCAGGCGGCATTGACTTTCGAAATCTGCCCGCGAGGTTTGGGTCAGCAGCATCGTTCCATGGTCGAACTTAGCCCCAGGGCTCATGATGAACCACCCGAATTTCGTCCTCTCGGCTATGGGTTCACAATCTCCGCCAACGACGGGTCTTTCGTCAGTTTTAATTCGCGCATACTCCTCGCTGCCAAGGATAATATGAACAGGAAGTTGACGTTTCGTGTCGTCATCGTCGATTGAAAGAAGCTTGAGGTGTTCGTAGCGTTGTTTCAACTTACGATATTCAGGGTTGTTGATTGACAGTAATTGACTCTTTTCAATTTTTTTTACTCTCACATATCATAACTATCATCCCTAGCACGAATGTTCACGTCATAAGATTCCATTAGTGATGAACACGAACTCATCAACATGTCTATACGGTGACGTTTTATCTCGCTTGGCTTTGCGTTGAGTAGGTTTATCAGCTTCGCAGACGCGTAAGAACTACTACCGCCAGAATCGATCAAAGCGCGGCAGGTAATCCCGTTAACCTTTACAACCACTATAGGAAAAATGCCTTCGCCACTTGCACCATCCCTCATCAACTTCTTGTCAGGCCCTTTCTCGGTCTGTTTGTTATCATTATCGAGACTGTCATCGCTCTTAGTCTTAACTTGATCGCATATAGTGGTGTGATGGCGTTTGTTGCAAATGGTACAAGACGACTTTTTAGAACATACGGCTGCGGGATGGGGTTTTGTCGCGCAGTTGAAACACAGGCCCTTTCTCGCCAGAATCCGTTTGCGCTCGGACACTTCAGTTATTTGGTCACACTGAACTGCCTTATGTCCCGGGTTCCCACAGTAAATGCAACCCTTGGGTTTAAATTCCTCGCGTGCTTGGAATAGTTTCTTGCGATTGTCGCGATAGCTATCGTCAAGCGGAGTGACAGAATTTCTCCGTAACCACTGATGCAGAGAGTCAACTAACTTAACAAAATCCCATGACTCCCAGCTTGCGTCAGTTCGTACTAGGTCCCCGCGAATGCCAGATAACTCCTCTAGGGTTTGGTAGAAAATGCGGGTTGCGGGTATTTTTTTGCGGGTTGCGGGTAGTTTTTTGCGGGTAGGTTTTTTTGCGGGTAGTTTTTTTTGCGGGTAGTTTTTTTTGCGGGTAGTTTTTTTGCGGTTAGTTTTTTTTTAAATTTGATGTGCTATTTAATGAATAAATTTGAAATAGCATATAGAAAATATAATAGTTTTCACAACTATATTTGCTAATTCAATAATTATGAAGCCCCAGTTACACGATACTGGATTTGCTTGTTACTTTATTACCTGCGCCGAACAACGAGAACGAACGAATATCATTAAAATCGCGAAAGCTGATTGGTTTACATATTTAAACATGTACGAACAGACCAAAGTCTGAACGAACGAGTGAACGAATGACGCAGTTAGTATGAGCCGAACTATGCCTATGGGAGATACGTTACAACCAATACGTTACAACCTACTGACAAAACAGGTATGTCTTATTACGCTTATAAAGCCTTTATCAAGTTCAAACTTTGGTATACGCTATTCGGTGTCACGCGTGTAAACAAGTATTCTTTCAGTCATTGCACGATCAACGTTTTGACAGTGTTTTTGACGGGGAAGTGTTCTGTGAAGTGGGCATATTTTTCTTGAAGTTAGAGCCCGCAACGAATACTTTGTTACATTAATTTGATAACTTCACTAAATTGTGTTTTAGTGGACTAAAAACGTTAACCGAAAGATCGGAAATTCATGATTTTCGATAAAACAAACAATCACGCTATTACAAGAGACGATCAATACCAGATTGATTGATTTTTTACCGTTGCGCATTTATAGCTATACAAGAGTTAAATCTTTTTTACCGTAATGATAGTACCCTAGCCCACACTCCCACATTTCCTCCCACACCACACGGACCAAGAACCACACGGTTTTATATGTTTTTGTTCATCTCTTGGTATTTGGCGATGTAATTTGAACATACGCCAACGAACATCCATCATTTCAGTGTTGACCCTATCCACACTCCCTCCCATAACTAAGGCAAGAGGGGCGTCACTAGTCGCAAAAAAATGGGGTGTCCTTTTCTAGCACAATATCCTTCCTCACAAAATTTTTTGGGGCAGGAAAATGCACGGTGTCACCCTCTAAGACCTGCAAAAACTCACACCATGGTATAAGGGAGGCTTTCCATCTTAGGTCATTAAGTGAGACCACCTTTGCTTCCTCTATGCCAACCCACGCAAAACTCCCCGAGGCTGGATTAACAAAACACTCGTAGATGGATTTCAACGGCGAAATAAGAAAGGTTTTGCCGCAGTTAGCAGGGCCGTGAACATAGATATTTCTATATTTGCTCGACCTCGCAGCAGGGCGTCGTATACTGCACTTGCGAATGTTGAAACAGGTATACCATTCCCATCCAATATCTGAACTGCCGCACGTAGTCATAATCCGTCGCAGTTGTCTTGGCATGGCTGTGCTAATTGCTCTTGGAGTAACTCTAGCCTAGTTTTACTAATTCTTTCGAATCACTTTTCTGCTTGTGTCAGTTCGTGCGCTGTCTCTAGGGCTTCGTTCACAACTCTTGGTCCTCGATTGCAAACAAATTCTGCCAGATCTGTCTTCCCCTGTTCTTACCACTTGCTTGCTAGAGCCATAAGCTCTACCCGAGACTTTATGCCTTTCGACTGGATTATCCGAACCATGCCGTAAACTGCCAAGCGTTTCCTTTTCTTTTTACTAGCAACTCGTTTCTTAGAATTCGTCTTACGTTTTTGAGTTGCATTTGTCGTTCGAGGTGCCGTGGCATTAGCGAGTTCTGGGTGATTCTCAGATAAGACATAATCTGCGTCCTCTTTGACTATGTACGTATACGCAGTAAAGTAATTTTCGTGTTTATCTGAAAAGTTCACTTTGATACCATGTTGACTATCAATGAAATTCCTGACCGCGAGCCATTTTGTTTTTTTGTCGAGTTTGACTGCCATATGAAAATGCTTGCCACCGTCCTCGTGCATTTCTTCACTTACTACCCACTGCAGTATATTTGAGCGGCAGCATTCATTCCACGCATTCACTATTAATTTGGCAAATTCTTGTCTATCTAAACCCGAATCACCACATTGGCTATAGGTTAT